CGAAAATCCAACCCCGATGACAAACACCGGGGGGGGCGGCTTGTTTTTTCAACGTCGTTGCCAAGCGACGAAAACCCAACCCCGATGGCAAACACCGCGGGGGGGGAGGGGGGGCTCCACGGTGTTCTCTTCCTCTCGACTGAACAAGCATACTGGCATCTCGCGCTGCACGTGGGGTGTACTTACTTTTTGTTTCTTTTCCCCAATTGCAAATCGGGGTTTCAGCCAGCACAATCCCGAAAAAAGCAGAAAAGAAATCTTGTCCGAAACTTCGATCCTTCAACAATCAAGTGAAAAAAAGTCTTCCTTGTGTGCACCAGCTTACTGCTGTTGGGGTAGCTTTGTGACAACGGAAGTTCGAGTTCTTTCCTCGTAAAATACGGAAGGGCTCATATTATTGGATCTACACCGGCCCGAGATATATATGGAGAATAAGCCAACCGTAAATCTATACTCTTTACGAAATCAACACAAGAGCGTAAAGACTACAGAAGGACCGGGGATTCCCACCCATCGCAACGGCTTTTTGCGTGGGGGCATAAGCACCACCCAAAATCGAAAACAGCAGGCCCGCCGATTCTCTCGACTATCCAACAACCCAAAACACCGTTGCAACCGAACAATCGTTCAAGGGTTGACTGCGGGCAGGCCGGGGAGCGTTCTTACCAGTAGACGGAGGCGTGTTGTCCAGAACGGAAAGGGCGTTCGGGTTCTGGTACTCCGGTTCGTCCGACCGCATCACGAACCAAACCCGCGACTGCTGTTGCATATCCTTGGCCTTCAAATAATAAAGCGGCCCGGCGTCCTTCCTGAACTGAGGCCCTCGAGATACCTGTTCGGGCGGAGAAAAAACGTGGCGGAATTCCGTTTTGATCGGGAGAAGAACAACGCGGCGAGATTTCGTTCTGTTCGGGAGGAGGAAAAGACGGCGGAAGAAAAAAACGTTCTATTCGGCGGAGTAAAAAGCGCGGCGGGATTTCGTTCTGTTCGATTGGAGGAAAACGCGACGGGAATTAGCTTCTGTTCGGGTAGAGAAAAAAAACGGGCCAGAACTTCGTTCTTGTCTTGTCGCGGTTGTTCCTTTCTCGGGGACGGGACGGAACTTCCCTGCGTGAAGGCAATGTGGCTCGGTTCAAGTATGTTGCAAGCGTCCTCCTTATCGTCCCAGCACTCACCAGTGCTTCCCCGTGCCCTCACTACAATACCCGAGGTCTCTGGGATTGGTGGTCACACTAGAGGTTTGCTGCTTCTCCTCGAGCAAACACCGTTCGTCACGGCGTTGTCAACTAAAGTACCGCTGTATGCTACCAGTTTCAATACTCCCCAGTGACAGAAACGGACAAGCGTTGCGCCCAAGCTCTCACCAAATCGCAGACGTTCGGCGTCATGGGGAGCAACCCTCAAGTGTGACCACACGGATTAGAGGTTCTACCGCACCCGGGAGAAATACCATCGTTGATGATAAGTTCAGTGAAAAGGCTTACACAAACTCAAAATAAGCCCAGTTTCCAATCGGTTTAACTCCACTCACTGACAAGACTTCAACCCGTCTCTTTCGATTGTGGTATTATCTCGAACGGGTTGTCTTGCTGTGAGACTGAATACTTCCTAAAACTACTGTGTGCGAGCGCTGCTGTAAAGTGATGAACAAAAAAAACAAAAAATAGAGTCGCCCCAAGCTCTCACCAAATCGTACACGTTCGGGACTCGCCACGCTCCCGCCGGTGCTTGCGCGCTCTTGATGTACGACCTCTTTGTAGGTTCCCATTTGTAGTAGCCATTCTGACCAGGTCATTCGCCCAACATGTCAAGTATCGTCACGCGTGGAGGTCAAATTCAAAGGGTTTCCGCCAAATCATCGTCTTGTCGGCGACTCAACCATCCCGACTGCGGGGCCTCCGCTCTGCCCGTCACCGCCTCACTCTGCCGTAGTAAGTGGGTACTTCCAACGGTATCTCCCGATAGATGCCTCTGCCATCGTAATTCTTGCTCGGTGCTACATTTACTGCCTTGCCACAGCATGCAGTAAGCTCAGTCAACAAGCTCCTCTGCTCACCATGTGCCGAGGGAGAGCTGCGAACGTAACACGTTTTTTTGATACAAGTATACGGGTTCATACCAATTTTCGCATACCTTTTTTGGGTAAGTTAGCCTGTGACCACGGGAATCGACGAATCGACTCCGTCAAAAGTTAGACTATAATAGTACGGACCCAGAAGGTACTGGGCGGAGAGAACGGAACGGTTTTCAATGTGAACAAACAACAATAGGCTATGCTGTCTGCACTACACTGCTGTACCACGGTACTTGTTTCGTGTCACAAAATCTCACCGCATTTGTGTCTCCACCACCTCGAACCACTACCCCCTTCCAAACTTCCACGAAGTAAGCCCGGGACAGTATCGCCACGGCAGCGGCTCCAAGGAGCGCGGTCACCCGTTGGCGTCTCGCCAGCGAAGAGATGGCCATGTGAGAAAGAAAGGAGCTTGAACCTTTGGGTTGTTGGTAAGATGTGCCTCTCTCAAGGGCCGCCGCCGCCGCTCGCTGCAGAGCAAACAACAAGCGGTGAACCGAGACCCAGCCAAACGTTTATCTTTCCTCTCGCTTCCTTCGCCGACAGCTACATGTAGCAGCACTATGTCCTCGGTCGGTGTTGGTGTTGGAGGTATGCGTATGTGTGACGTTATAGTGATCTTGGAATCCTCTTGGTCGCGAGCTTGCTACTGTGCAAGGGTGTTCTCCTATCCTATGCAACCAGCGGTATCGTATGCTAATGCGGCTAAAGCTGCTGTACGATCAGGGATTCGCAGAAGCCTCACTTGAACTGGCCGGGAACTTTGTTTCCAGACTACAAGAACGAGTGACAAGCCTTGTGTTGACTCGAAAGGAAGGGCGGAAACGAGCGGAGCAACACAAGGGCATAATATACTCTCATCCTCTGCAAACAAGGGTCATCCGCTTTGTTGCCTGGGCGCTCTTGTAAACTGAACGAAGTAGGCAACATTTGCAGCCAAACCTACTGCTCTCTGTCTCTCTCCCACATGCCGAGAGTATCGCCTTTAGCGCTGCTGCTGTGGGAAGCAGGAAGGAAGCAAGCTGATGTACGCACACGATGGATGCTATGAGAAACTCGGTTTTGTATCTTGATTTTTGTATGCGACAAAAACGATGAACAATCTTCGACGGAAGTTACTCCCACCGCTTCTTCCTCGCCACCTGCGTCATTCGTGCACAACAAAGTTCACTAGCTCACCAGCTGTCAGGTACAGGAGCGCAGGTCGCGTGTTAAGCGGCAGTACAGCAGTAGTGTAGGGTCTGTGTGGTCGGTGGGCCTTCTTTAGGCATCCCGTTCATGGGTCTGCACAGCAGTTCCGTACCAAGGCGTTACGCGGAATTCATGGGTGTATTTCACGGGGCCCCGTCCAGCCCGGGAGGGTGCTGGCTCTGTGGCTGGGCAGTTGCTCCTTTGAAACCCCGGTTCAGCTCCTCTCGCTTGCTTGGGCCACTGGGCGACGCTGTCAGCATGGAACTCGAGCCGACGGGTGTGGTGGGACAGGTAGTTCATGACTTCGAACAGCAGAGGCCGAAGAGCCTTGAACAGCTTGGTGAGCCTGAGACATAAAACGTGACATACATGTACCCTGTAGACTCTTTCTGCAATAGATCCAGCGCCCAGCACAGGCATGTGTATACAGAAGAGATGAGCATGCAACAAAGCGTGCGAGCGTGTGGAGGTGGAAACCGGGACAACTGGAGCGGCCCACGCGTAAATGATATGGCCAGTGGCTCCGCCCGCTGGCGACGACTGTTTCGCTCATCCGTAACTGACCCAACCCCCCTTTGTGCACGATTTCGAAAAAGATCACAAGCAGCTTGTAGCTCGCGGAGAATCCCCTACTCAGCAATCAGCACGACTGCTGTTACTGTTGTAAACACGCTACGATACCCCATACGTACACGGCGTATCATGGGTGTGTCCATATAGCCAGCACTTTTGCAACTGCTCTTGCCGTGTGGTATGTATTGATTGTTGTACCAACTTTCCCGGGGTCAGCAAGTAACTATTATGCCGACCACGAATAGCCCGCTGCTGCTGTTGTTTGGAGACAGGTGCCTCGTTCTTGCTCCTGGAGTACTATTTAGGGCACAAATTGAACGGGACGATTGAAATCTTGATGTTGTACCTGGCAATGGATGAAACGGGCTCAAGTCCACGTCTTGAGACGCCACACCAACACTTGTGTACATCCCACGACGTTGTTTCCGTGTTGGGAGAGCGTCACGCACAGCAAGCAGTCAGTGCAGCTCACTCTGCGCCCCGGTGGTCTAGTGGGTAGCCTCGTAGCCTCCGAAGGGCCAGGTCATGGGTTCGAGTCCCGACAGAGTGAGTTTTTTCTCGCTGATTACATCCTGGTCTCCGTTGGAAGCGACGCGCTGCAAAGCTCGTTGTTAGTAAACTTGTTGGACTTCATAAGTCGCGAGGGAAGGGATAGCTGTACCCTTCTCGCGATAAAAATATCTCAGGCAGGAACCGCAGGAGGGGGTCTAACCCCCCCCTCCTATGTGACTCCGGTTGGATCGTCTAGCTGGTAGAAGTGGAGGATAGAGGCCAGAAGGGCAGACGACAGAATCCAATGATGGGAGAAAAACAAACAACAAACAAACAACTATCGCCGCGAACCTCGAGAGTTTTCTACCGTAAACGGCGGAGAGGTCGCACCCCACTTGACCGATTTTCAACGCTCGATCGCTCCATCACCAAGCGTGTACACCAATACTTGGTAATATTGTGATTTTGGAAACATGTCGTCCAAGCCTTTCCGTCGATTTGTCGGGCTCTTTCCGCGCCTCCTTTGTTGAAGAGGAATCATGCTTTGGAACTCGGGCTAGGGGGTGTGCCATCTCTCCGCCTCTTACAGAATACCACGGCACCATGGTACGGTATACGGTGCGGTACAGACAATCTTGGTTGTGGAGCAATCGTGCTTTGGAAGTCGGGCTAGGGGATGTGCCATCTCTCCGCCTCTTACAGAATACCACGGCACCATGGAACGGTATACGGTACGGTACAGACAATCTTGGTTGTGGAGTAATCGTGCTTTGGAAGTCGGGCTAGGGGGTGTGCCATCTCTCCGCCTCTTCCGGTATCCGCCACAAAGGGAGAACTCGGTCAACATGCCGCCGTAGGTTGCGTAAGATACCACACCCTCTGGACCGAATTCAAAACCTCTTAACATCCCACGACGAAGGGGATGCCGAAATCAAGTGATACATTGTCGGAAAAATCTCGACGAGACAGCAGTTCCACGCCGCCATTTCCTCCGCCATCACTGTTGCTTGTCCTGCGGAGTGTTCGAGCTTTGAAAATCGTTGTCAAGGGGGTGTAATATCTTACGCGACCTACGGCATGTACTACCGTGCGTGACGTAAGATATCACAGGCCCTTGACCAGCTTGCAAGGCCCGAATACTCTCCAGCAGAAAGAGAAGCGGTGCCGAAAATGGCGGCGTTGGAAACTATTCCGTAGGACGATTTCCGAAAAAGTATCGCGTGACTTGCACCTCGTCGCCATAAGAGTATCCGAGCTTTGAAACTACATCCGACGGGTGGAATATCTAGTGTCGCCGAGGTTATGTCGGCGGAATGTACTTAAGTACTAGGCAACGAAAAAAGCAGTAGAAGGGGCGATTGAGGCGGCGAAACGACCGCTTTACCACTTTTTATGCATGCCGCTCAGTGGGGAGCGTTCGAAAACACGTACCCTTCGAACCCGGTTTTCTCTCGAACGGTCAGTCTTTGTGCTGTACTACGTAAAGCACTTGGCTTTGGCCAGTATTTGACGCTTTCGACCGGACTGTCGGTTTCGCCTCTGTTGTTTGGATCGTCGAGATGCCACCGCCGAAAGCCATGTTTCTAAAAAAAAAAATAGTTCAATTGCCGAGAAAACTTAAGCCGAAGAGCATCGTCCAAATGGTACGAAGACACGTACGAGCATGTGTCATTGAGCACGTGACGGACGGCGCGCAAATTTGTGGAGCAATGTCAGGTCAGCGAGAAACGTTGGCAAGATCCAGAAGCACAGCAACAGCGAACTATACCTCTTCTCAAGCACTATGCCGACGACGGCATAGTGCTTGAGACGACGACGGGCGCAGAAGCATCTCACGATGTGTTTTCGCTGCCGCGCCATAGAAACACCACCTTTTCTCTAATTCTTCCGTCCTTTGAACTCTCTCGAAAAAGAGCGGCACAGGGGTTCAGCAAGAAGTTAACTTCATCAGTGAAACAGAGGGGCATGGGTTGCGTAGGCTCTAACCCTAACCCCGTAATTCCCATCGTACTTCATCCAACATGTTTGCTTGGTATAAACCTGCGTAGGCTACTATGTACCTCGTGGCCACCGCCTTGTAAGCGTTTTTAGGCTGCGTACATCCAGCCATCATCTTTCTTTCCTTAGATAAACACATTTGGCCGTCGTGGTAGACTCGCACCACCAGCTACGCTACTTCTATTGATGGCCTGCGTTACCCTATCATCTCGCTCTATACATGTTGACACCCTTCGTTGCTTTCTTCTCTCGAGCGTAATTTTTTCCCTGCCTCCCCCCCCCCCCCCCCCCCCCCCCCCCCCCCCCCCCCCCCCCCCCCCCCCCCCCCCCCCCCCCCCCCCCCCCCCCCCCCCCCCCCCCCCCCCCCCC